TGGTTCTATAGGCTTAACACCTTTGTCTTCTGGTTTGGCAGCCAATGGATCCAAGGGTACACCTGGTTTGACATCAGTCATTTTAGGTTTGTCGAACTCTTCATCAGATTCATCAGAAGGGTACGTTTGTGGAATAGGATTCGTTACGTCAATTGGAGATTTTGGTTTGTCGTCTGGTTTTGAAATTGGTTCTATAGGCTTAACACCTTTGTCTTCTGGTTTGGCAGCAAACGGAACCAAGGGTACACCTGGTTTGACATCAGCCATTTTGAGTTTATCGAACTCTTCATCAGATTCATCAGAAGAGTACGTTTGTGGAATAGGCTTCGTTAGGTCAAGTGGAGATTTTGGTTTGTCCTCTGGTTTTGAAATTGGCTCTATACGCTTAACACCTTTGTCTTCTGGTTTGGCAGGCAATGCAACGAAGTGTACACCTGATTTGAAATCAGCCATTTTAGGTTTGTCGAACTCTTCATCAGATTCATCAGAAGAGTTTGTTTGTGGAATAGGCTTCGTTACGTCATGTGGAGACTTTGGTTTGTCGCCTGGTTTTGAAATCGGTTCTATAGGCTTAACACCTTTGTCTTCTGGTTTGGCAGCCAATGGAACCAAGGTTACACCTGGTTTGACATCAGTCATTTTAGGTGTGTCGAACTCTTCATCAGATTCATCAGAAAAGTACGTTTGTGGAATAGGCTTCGTTGCGTCAAGTGGAGATTTGGGTTTGTCCTCTGGTTTTGAAATTGGCTCTATAGGCTTAACACCTTTGTCTTCTGGTTTGGTAGGCAATGCGACGAAGGGTACACGTGATTTGACATCAGCCATTTTAGGTATGTCGAACTCTTCATCAGATTCATCAGAAGAGTACGTTTGTGGAATAGGCTTCGTTACGTCAAGTGGAGATTTTGGTTTGTCGTCTGGTTTTGAAATTGGTTCTATAGGCTTAACACCTTTGTCTTCTGGTTTCGCAGCAAATGGAACCAAGGGTACACCTGGTTTGACATCAGCCATTTTAGGTTTATCGAACTCTTCATCAGATTCATCAGAAGAGTACGTTTGTGCAATAGGCTTCGTTGCGCCAAGTGGAGATTTGGGTTTGTCCTCTGGTTTTGAAATTGGCTCTATAGGCTTAACATCTTTGTCTTCTGGTTTGGCAGGCAATGCAACGAAGGGTACACGGGATTTGTCATCAGCCATTTTAGGTATGTCGAACTCTTCATCAGATTCATCAGAAGAGTACGTTTGTGGAATAGGCTTCGTTACGTCAAGTGGAGATTTTGGTTTGTCGT